AGACCTCTTGTCCAACAGATATGCAAAAGGAAATGGAGATGAACTGGACATACACTGAGGTGACATTCAAATGTAATCATACGCTAGGTCCCCGAATGGAATGTGACGAGTCGAGAGTACTCGGGTGCTATGGAGAAGATCATGTGGTGGGGAAATGAAAGCTTATGAGCAGTCTTTTATCAGCTGAAAATGACTGTAGAGAACATTGCATGTAGTGGAGATGTAATGACCTGCATTTCATTTGGAACGCAAGAAACTAATACTGGCAGTAATACTAGACAGCATTCGTCCCTTTGACAACAGATGTATCAGGTAACATAAGGTATCCTGATTCTTTTATAAAGTTATAACAAAGTAAAATTTTGAATATGCATAAACTATAAAATATGTAAAATCCCATTCCTAAGTAAAATGTACTAATTTTTAGTACATATTAACGTGTTACTCATAAGTAGTATGTTACTCATCATCGAAATTAATATATCAGATGGGTTCCTCATGGCCTCAACCAACAAACAGCAAGTACTATACTATTGATTGAACGAGATGAGTAGTTTGATACCACTCACCTCAACCAGTGGGGATTACTATTTCGATCAAAGTGATCAAAACGCTCAACGGCCATTTCGTTTGTTTGGGTTCGAGCTCATCAGTGGTGCACCAGGTTTGACCCAGCTCAGAGAGTCAAATCAGTTCAGACAACCCGAATGGTGTTGAAATCACATCCAGTGGACTTTTTTTGAAATTACTTAAGTATGTTTGAAAACTCATTCGAAGTTAAGGAATTTTACTAACTAATACAAACACGTATATAAATATGCAAATTCTATATAACTAAGGTGGGTGCTTATTAATCTTAGACACAATGAGCCATAGTCAAACTAATCTAACGTGTATTTACTTGAATGACACTTAACTGTCTTTTTAATGAATGAAAATTACGCTTTTATGATTGTTGTTTATGTACACTGACAAAACAACTGACGTTTTTGTGCAATTGTAGTTTACCAACTGTTTGCATTTGCATTTATTATTCTGCTACACAGATTGTCTCAGTGACTCGAATTCTGGATCTCGTATGCTTTATTTCACCATACTTCACATGCAAATAGATCTACACTAAGCAACAAGCATAGCATGAATTTCCGGTGCTTTGTTTATATTAATATGATTGTATAAACATTGAAATGAAGTAGAATGAACCAATCAACATTGATCATTAAAAACAGAATGACCTTTAATGTGAAAACAAAGAACAAGGCGTTCTGATCTATCAGAATAACTTGGAATATTTGTATGCCTAGTTAGTCTTCAGGTGAAAAACAAAAAGAAAAAAAGAAAGAAGAATTAGAGTGGAAGAGATAAAATGTCATAAAGTTTGAAGTTACTAGTTTCTGTTAAAATCACATTCGTTTTGTTTAATTTGAATATAAGGGCGGGTTTCCTCCTGTCTTTCGCGCTTATTCATCTGTGTACACACATGTGTATGTGTACAAGTATGTTGGGTGTTGTGTGTATGTGCAGAGAGAGAGAGAGAGAGACAGAGAGCTGGTCCTGCTGAACAAAGAGGGGTAAACATACATCAACTGAGGGTAGAGATGAATTTTGAAGACTTAGACGAGAGAATAATAATAAACTGTATGGAAGAAAATAAAAAGGGTTGAACAAATGTTTGTCATTATGTTTAAATTTCAGGTCATATTTTGAAAAAAAAAGTTTATGGCTTTATTCACTTTTTTTTTCTGCTTTGACATACGCATACAAATTTATGAATGTTATTTTTATCATTGCAAAAAGATGGGAGTTTTATGTTGCAGGTGTATTTTGAAATAAAACTCTTTAGGTTGAAGGTGTACAAGATTGGGAAACTCTTTTATTGACTTCCCCACTATTGTTGAGTGCACAGTAGGGTTCCGAGTTATACAGGCTTTCGTTTGACGAAATACTGGTAAATGTTTATATATAAAGTATACATGCTGGTATAGTTTTGCATAGATCACGCGAATAATATGAAGTACGGACACTTGAACTAATCAGTTTCTGTATGATAGTTATTCATATGGTAGATTATACCCCCTTTAACTGATGTTTATTTTACTTTAGAACATTTCATGTCTTCACACTCATCTTTCAGTTATCCCAGAGATTTAACAATTTTACGGGAAAGGTGAATGTATTTTGATGATATGCTTCTGGGCTAGTGAAGTGAGAAAGACGTTTGAGTTGCCATGGCATAAAGTTTTTCCAATATTTTAAATTGGTTGTTAAGTAAACTGAATATGTTTAGAAATAACTGTCTTCTATTTTAAGCTTCAAAGAAAGGGATCTATCCTAATCTTTCATGTCTGGTTCTTCACTAAACATAAATGTTATTATCAAGCTGTACAATCGTATATATATGGTTTCTAAGAAATTATATCCGGTGAGGGAATTAGATCAAAAGTGTGAACACATGAAATAATAATAGTATGAAATGCAATCAAAATAAGATTATAAGTTTCCAGGCCGTAGGTGTTACGAACTTCCTGGAATAATTTGAGAGCCGAGTCAGATTGATTCATCATAAATTATTTAAGTTAATCCCAGCGTGTTAAGAAAATCAAAACAAGATTTTTCTGTTCCAAAGCTTTCTTGTCATAGTCGTCTTTATTAAGAATTACAGTGATATTGCCTTTGTCAGCTTTAGTTATAACAATAGATTTATCTGATCTTAATGTTTGTAATGCATGACGTTCGTTCTTCGACAAATTTGGGATGCTCTGCTTTTGATTTGATAGGATACATCCAACCTTCTGACGTAATTCATTAGCTTCATCATCAGGTAAAAGAGTTAATGTAGATTCCATGATGGGAGCTAATTCTATCGCTGTCAGTAGTTTTCGAGTTATGTTAAAGTTTAGTCCTTTCTCAAGTGATGCTGTTTCATGTACATTAAGTTCTCTATCTGATAAGTTGCATACTGTTCTTGTGTTTATCTGTACATTTGACTTATTTGCTCTGGAGTATGCTGCTTTCGGATTTATAAGTTTTTAAAATTTTCGAATTTGTCTTTGCTTCGTAGCATTGAAATGAGCGGACTTTCGGTCTTCGAATAATTGGGTAATGGTAGCTAAATGATCTTTGAATATAAGAATATTCAGACAATCATCAATATTCTTAATTCGATATTGATAATGTTGCATTGCTAATGTACATTTGTGTATCCTTTCTCGAAGGAACACGCGAGATGCTACAATGGATGCTTTCGTAGATCGATGAGATTTTTCCGGAACTCTTATCACAAGGGATTTCGGAATGATATCGTTTTTTAAACATCGTAATTTGAATATACGGTAATTATACCAGTTTGATTGAAATTCTGATAATTTAATTCCATTTTTAATAAGATTATAAGTTTCCAGACCGTAGGTGTTACGAACTTCCTGGAATAATTTGAGCGCCGAGTCAGATTGATTCATTATAAATTATTTAAATTAATCCCAGCGTGTTAAGAAAATCAAAACAAATAAAACAGAAAAATTTTGTTCTGATTTTCTTAACACGCTGGGATTAATTTAAATAATTTATAATGAAGCAATCAAATTATTTGTGATTATAATCATAGTTAAATGTCAAGTAGCAAAACAGTTAATGTCATATATAGAATAATACATAAGCTGTATCGACATTGGAAAGGGGTGCATAATTATAGGATTAGTAGGCGAATATAAAATGTTACATAATATGGTATGAAATTTGATACGATAGAATTCAGTATTGTAAAAACAAAAAAATTATATTTTTGGATTTAGAATGACAAGTGGGACAAGCGGGAACAATTCAGGGTGAGAATAGTAATAATAATAATAATCGTAGTAATAAGGGAAAGGTACCATCAAGTAACTGATCGATACCGGTTTTACAAAGGGTGAGTATGGTAGAGTGGAAATTTAAGCGCCTACATTCAGTAAATAGTATTTCAATTTCCAAGTAAACATAAAATTTATTAGATCAGCAAATATAAATTTGAGACAAATACTAAGAATCATAGTACTTAGGTCATACAGAGCCTTCGATTAATTTACTTCTGTAAGATAATCTTAGATTAAAGAGAATTTGTTAACGTACATACAATTTTAGTTTAGAACACATACTTTTAACTAAAATGTCTGTTTAAGAACATATCGCTTCTTGGGCTTTAGTCAGATTAAACAAGATAAAACTTTTTGGCATGGTAGAAGAATCGCCGCGAAAATAAATCTTATCTTTTCTGAGAAGCAAACAATTGTGTTACGAGATAATATTCAGCTTAAATCATTCTTTCGAATTTAACTACTGAAAAGCATTTAAGTAACCATAATTATCTTAACAAACTTTTGAAGCTTCGATTTTTAAAATTTTTGATTATAGCTTGATCCCATACAGTACTTTTGGTAGAAGTATGGAATTTTCAGCATGTTATATCGGTAGCCCAAATTTTGCAGGTCGACCATTGATATCAGGTGTGCGTCGGCAGGGGATCGAACCGCGGACCATGTGCATGGCCGGGCGAGCGTCCTAACCGCTGACGCACAAGATACAACGGTTACTGTCATAAGTGAAGTTCAACCTAATTTTACCTCTACATGTCCGTGGTGACTGGTGATCAATGTCATACATTATTATATTTATATGTAAACATGTAGGTATGGTTAAATACAATTATACTGGAATCCCTAAGCCATGCAGGCACAGGTACCATAATAAATCCGTAGGTAGTTAAAGCCATATCATATCAATTGATTTAATATATGTTAGAATTATTCATTTAAATTTGCTTATCTTCGAAACAAGCCATTGGGATTATTCAGAATAAAGATGTGAGCAGAAAAATGTGAATCCAGTTGTTAAGACAGACTTTAAACATATTCTTGGTTTAGTGAAGGCGTTTTCCGATAGAAAGATGCAGACTAAAATCCATGTGATAAGTAAGTTTTCAAATCATTTTCAAGTATTATAGTCAAGAAACTATCGAATAACATCTACTTTTTAGCATTTTTACATACTGTTTCTTTCAGTGAAAAAAATAGTTTGAAATAAATCCCTGATACATGTGAATAACCGAGAGAAATTTTGCTTTAGTAAATAGAGATGGCAGCACATCCTTAGATACAAGAAATATGTTTACATAGACTAAGAATTATGCTTCTTGGGTCACTAGCACACTCGCCAACCGTGAATGTGGCCAAGGGTTCGATACCCAGCCGACGCATTCCTAAACCTTGCTAAGCCGGTAATAGCGTTGGTAAGGCGGAAAGGTTGAACCTGAGGCTAGTAAACCACCCTGTTAAAAATAAAATCACTGCTAACGAAACTTCAAAGCTCTAGCCTGAAGCCATATGTTCCACTCGGAACGTAAAGGAATATGATAAAAAGAGACTAAGTAGTTCAGCTTGACAAAATGCAAACATAGGAAGTACAACATCCCAATAATAACAGTCATGAATCTGTGAAACATAAATAAGCTGAAGTATAAGTCAACAAGTGGTGTAGGTTAGCATTTAACTATGATTCTAGTATTACGAACTAAGAAATCAGCAGTAAGTATAAATTTCTCCCTTAAAACCATCCAGAAAACCAAACACAGATGTCCAACTTCAATAAAATTCATCTACAAACTTACCAATTATCAATCAGGTAGTGAAAAAAGACATCTTCATAACAATTATTGACCTTACAAAGGATAAAAAACTGTTTTAATTAACCATTGCCAGTGTACACTGGATACATCATGACAATATCATCAATGACCAGTTGATTATCCGTATCATTTAACAAAACAGATAAACACAATTAATTAATAGGAAGACTGGTATTAATGAAATAAATTTTAATAAAATTAAGAAGTAAAAATATTTCATTATATAACAATATTTAAAAATTAAAAACCAAATGATTTACCTGATTTCCACACTTTTGAATTAGAATTGCACTTGAAGATTTGTTGAATCTCATGTTCAGAAAATTGAGAACAGCGAGTTCGGACAATAGCACACTAGTAAAATAGAAGAGATAGTAAGTGAGTAGGTCTTTCTAATATATATATATATATATATATATATATATATACATATATATTGCATGGAGGATTTTATCATGAGCTGACATCAGTTTAAGAACCACTGATGTCAGCTCATGATGAAATCCTCCATGCAATCAAAAATAATCCCTACAAAACCAATACTTGAAAATTAATCTGATGCTCACTAGTGACTGGCCCTATTCAGGCACTCAACCTGGGGTTCTAGTGGGAAGCCGTGACCAGTAGGGTACAGTAGGTTGAAGATCAGGCAGTAACTCATCGAAGAAGACATTGCGAAATGGTCGCGCTATGTCGTGAATTGGCAGAAGTTAGAATTCAAGGACCATTGGATCGGGTCCCAGTGGCTCAATGGTCTACGAGCTGGCCTTGTAACCAGAAGGTCGTGGGTTGGAACCCTGGTGGGTGCGTACTGATGAAGAGTCCCAAACTAGGACGAAACAGCTGTCCAGTACTCCCCGGTTTTCCAGCGGTTCTCTAACTAATGTCAGCTTATGATGAAATCCTCCATGCAATCAAACAAAATCCCTACAATCCCAATACTTCAAGATACATATATATATATCAAATCAAGAATCAACAACAAATCAAACAGTTCTAACTTTTGAAGCGACCAGTGAGTTGGTAGTCAACACGAAGAGAATCAGTGATAATCAAAATTCCTGATGTTCATATGTGTGATAATGAACACTTTCCCATCCAAATGTTCGGTTAGAATGGGAAGTTTCAAGTTAATACAAAAAAGCTTACGACTATTATCTCGCTTTGCTTGGGTCGTAAGCTCATGATAAGACTATTAAGTGATGAAAGACATCTTTATATTCGAGCGTATCTATTTTCAAGTAAATGAATCAATATATAAAGCAGAGTTCAGTCATTAAATATTGATGTTTTGAGTGATGACTGAACATCGCAGATAGATTTGAAACAGTAACCTATGGATCTTCCATTACATCAAAGCCAGTATGCAGATCTAAGGCTACCTCAAATAGTTGTATCAAGTATGAAATATCACTTCGATTTACATTTGTTCTTTTGCAGATCACTTTTATATATAAACTTTAATCCATGATGTTATGTACCGATGACTGATGTTAGTGGTTAGTCAACCACCTAGACTGAGGCTATCTAAACAGTGGACAACAGTTTAGCTCGTTTGAATACGAATTCATCACTGGTGAACAAGGTTAGAATCGGTTAGGAGGACCAAATCATTAAAACTAACCCGAATTATGGATGGCTACTTGGTCTCAGCCCTGAACAAGGGGGACAAACACCCAGTGTTGAAGTCACCTTGATCTGGCTAGTTAGTACAACTGGCTGATATAAGGGGTTGTTAACTACTCATACTAATCAAGTGCATATACTTCATGGTATTTCACTTTCTCACCCTTTTTCTGAAAGTTATGGTATCAAGCAAATAACTTATTGTGACTTAAATGTTTTGAGTTTCCATAGGATACCTTGGCGAATTTCCACCTCGAACTGTGTAATTTTCAAATGACCAATTTGAAACTTTAATTCAAATATTTACTGGTTTCCTTTTCAGTAGAAAAAGTCCTATATGTAAGATTATTTAGTGTTATATGAGTGGCTAGTAGAAAATAGTATGCATTAAAGAGGAGATGATATGACTGCAGTGACTAGTTCATCATGAAATAACCAATATGTGAAATGAAACAGGTGGAGGCATATCTTGAGAAAAGAGATATCATCACCAACGATATGTCCGAAGAGTATGAATGGGAAATTTGAGAGTGTTGAAAGAATACTAGAATAAAGGGTATAAATTATAATATGCAGAGAAAAAGAAAAAAGGATGAAAGGAAGAGGGACTCTTGGAGAGGAGGAAAAAGTTTAATCCAAGTTTGGCTATGATAGGAACAGCTCATGGACGTGTTCTTTTTGAATGTAAGTTCCAGTTTAGTCAATCTTACTGTAACAGCTGCAGCTATGCGTAGAGGACGTAAGCAAACTGTGTGATAATGACTTCGGAATGTGGTATATAACCCTAAAGGCTAATTTAGCGTCGATATGATGTCCTGTATCGATCAAGTGTGATAGAATCGAACTTTTTATGCATTTGATTTCCCTCTTACTGAACCAAGCTGGTAAATGTTCTCAGGTCCGTGGGTGGACATGCCTAATTGTACGCCCTACATAACTTGAACCATATGAACAGTTGAAATGGTATATTCATGAGGAAGAGCTAAGGTTAATTATGACGTCTTTCAGTTTCTGGGTGAATAGTGGACAGCTATTGAAGGACAGGAACAGATGTGTAGAGCAGGAAGTCTTTTTTATCGCTCCCGTTAGACGTCCTCTTCGTGTAGCTGAAGCTGTTACAGTAAGATTGACTAAACTGGAACTTACATTCAAAAAGAACACGTCCATGCACTGTTCATATCATAGCCAAACTTGGATTAAACTTTTTCCTCTTCTCCAAAAGTCCCTCTTCCTTTCATCCTTTTTTCTTTTACTCTGTATATTATAATTTATACCCTTTATTCTAGTATTCTTTCAACACTCTCAAATTTCCCATTCATACTCTTCGGACTTATCGTTGGTGATGATATCTCTTTTCTCAAGATATGTCTCCACCTGTTTCATTTCATATACTGGTTATTTCATGATGATATTAGTTGTTAAAAAATCTTTCCACGTAGATACAACATAATGCTTCTAAAGAGAGTGTATGTTGACTTGAAAGTCATTTGTCTATGAAAAGTAATAATTTCAAAGCTTCAAGTGTAGGACATGTTTCTAATGCATCAACTGGTCACTAGGGAATGACCAGTTTTATCTATTTAGTCCTTATTTCTGACTGAATTCTACCAATCAAGTTAGCTACCTGGTCATCAAGTTGAATGACTCGCCATCTCTGTGCACTTTCAAATGATCAAAGTACTACATACAGGTCTAATGTTTAACTTCTTATTGTATACACACTTCAATTGACACATATCAGTGTCTACTGATTTATTCACAACAACAAATGCTTACCATTCACTCCAAATTCGAACGATATAATTTGAAGAGAATTATATAAAGTACTGAAGTATACGCAGCTTATTTCAACAAAGTATAACATCTAGGTGATGAAGTATAAATAACCCTAAATTAACATACGAGATGAAGTATCAAGGTTGAACATTGAATGAAACATTTGTTTAAGTTGTCTCTTTCCCAAAAAGAAAGGACAGGAATAGAATACTGTTAGGAAACAGAAACAAAAGTATTACGGGAGAGGAAACAATTTAGGGAAGATGAATGAAAATATTCCGGATTTTAAAAATGATGATAAGTGGGTACATTTTTGTTGGTTTAACTCACCAAAAATGAACTTCGTAAATTTCTAGTTCTCATCAGCCGATTTTAGAAAGGAGTTATTGTCTTAAATAAGTGTTAGTCACATATTGGTTTAATTGAAAGTTACCCAAAGATTCGCATCTTTGGTCTAGTCCTTCTGTATTTGCTTTTCAAAGCTCAAAATAGGATAACTATTGATCAGACTGACGAATAGGTCAATGCAGAAATTCACATAGAAGTTTTACAAATAATGATCTCAACAAAGATTGTTTTACAAGAATAAATAAAATGAAGTTTTGTAGTTACAAAGTGCCAATGTTAACAGTAATAACTTACAGAATTAAGTTTCCTCAAATAATCACATATTAATTTAGCTGATTGAATAGCTGCTTCATGTGGAAATACTGTAATGAGTGCAGATTTATTGAAGAGATTTTCAGTTGTTAGATTATTCGACTTAATGAATGCATTAACTTGTGATTTATTGCCAATAGTTAATGGGACAACAGAGTTTTCCGATGAAAAAGACAACGGGATCGACATTAAGGGCTGTAAAAGTGCAATGGAATCTTCATCTACAAAACAATTTAAAGATAGCAAGATGGAATATAAACTATTAGGATAAAAAAAAGAATCATACCTTGAATTAAACTGAATTCTTAACTCAGAACCTTACCCGAATGTATAATAGTTTAAGTTGCTGAACTTCATAGAAGCTCACATAAAGACCGAGAAAAGAGACTCAGTGAAACTATAATAAACGAAAACGTATAGAAGAAAGAGTAATTACACGAAGAATGAGTCTGGAAGATCGCAATAAGTGAATGCCCCTAAGCCATTCAAGACGATTTTGAGCCACATCAACAACAGTCTCCAAGTATGGATTCTTAGCATCTCAAAGGCAGATACCAAACAATTTACACTCCCCTTACGTGGCTCTGATATTTGTTGTTACATTATTCTCATTTTCTCTTGTTTTTTAGATTTTCTTACGTATTAAAATGCAATTTTCTGATGTCTTTTTGGACTAACTGCTAAATGGAATCTGATTTTTAACGAAAGTTATACAAATGATTGATTATTATTATTTATCATTGTTTCCTTTAATTCCTAGAGGAACACAGGGCTTCAGCCATGCGTCTCCATTGCGTTCTGTTCTCTGCTAGAGTCTTCACCTGGCTCCAAGTCTTCCCACACGCTTTCATCTCCTCTTCACATGACCTCCTCCAAATCACCCTTGCACCGACGACCAACTCGCCGCTTCCCATTCGGGTTCCACTCGAGCAATGGCTTGTCTAGTGATGTCACTTGATGGTTTCCTCAGAGTATGGCCAGCCAATCCATCTCCATTTCTTCCTGCCTATTTGTTTCACAATCGGTTCCTGCTGAGTTGGTTCGCTCATTGCCAGAGATCTCTGTTGCTGATCTTTTCTGGCCGGCCATCTGATCTTGAGTATTGAGCGAAGACAACTGTTAATGAAGGTCTGTAGTTTGTTTGAGATGCTCTTTATGACGCGCAGTGCAAGTCTCTGATCCGTATAGTAGCACTGACTTCACATTGGAGTTGAAAATCCGGATCTTATTTTTGATGCTGAGTGCTGTTGACCTCCACACAGACTTGAGAGTAGTGAAAGCTTGTATTGCTTTCCCGATTCTTGCTTTGATATCCTCGTCAGTTCCGCCTGTATTTGAAACGATGCTTCCCAGGTAGGTAAAAGAGGTTGTTTCTTTCAGGTTCCTTCCATTTATGCTGATCGTTGTCTGTTGTTGTTGTTCTTGTCCAGGAATCTTCGTCACCTCTGTTTTCTCTATGTTCACGTGAAGTGAAGTCCTATCTTTGATGCTTCTTCTGCCAACTTGTTGCTTTTCGCTTGCATATCTTCCAGTTTGTGGGAAATCAGACATATATCATCATTGGCGAAGTCCAGATCCTCCAAGTCTCTTTTTGTGTGAGTCCATTTTATGCCTGTTTCCTCATTGCCCGCTGTTTGTTGCATTATCCAGTCTACTACAACCAGGAAGATCATTGGCGATAGTAGACAGCCAGCTTGTCTTACTCCCGTCTTCAATTCGAAGGATTCCATAATTTTCCCATTGTGGATTACTTGGCATGCAGCATTGTCGTACAGCTGTTGGATGAGATGTGTAATTGTCGGTGCTTGATGGTGTTTTTAAATTTGAGATAAAATATTCCGTGCCACTATCTATCCTGTATGGTGCAGAATAAAATTTCTACTCGTACATAATGATAAGATATAGGAATAAACTAGTCAGTATATGATACAAAAATACAAAGACACTGTGAAATCCTTTAGACTGACCAAGTTAATTTATAACGAATGATAAAGCAGTTTTCTGCTTTAAAACTTATTGAATTAATAAAAATATATTGATAGTGTTCAGATTTTGGCCTGAATACCTAAATACAAATGGAGAAGATTTGTGGCTCAGGTAGATGATATTGAATTAATTTTGGTTGAATTCCAAGTCAATAAAAAATGATCCATAGAGACGTAAATTAACATCCAGTCACGACAGTGGTTGCCAAGAGACACAATTACATCATTCATGGAGAATTTAAATAAGTCCATTTTATACTAAAACCTGCACTGAAGATGTTGCCTAGAAAGACGACGAAAGCTTCGCAATTAAATCAACCCGCTCAGAGAACACAATTAATTCAGTATACCCACATTATGCTCTGTGCAAACTAAATTACGCCCATGGTGAATTGTTTTATGTAAGGGTGAAAAAGCTTAATTATATGAAAAAGAATTTTCTCATTAATTTTCACCTAGTTTATTTTGTGGCTTACTAAAAAGTATAATGCCTGAAGTTCTTGTGATAGGGAATGACTTATAAGGTTACCAGAGCTCAGTGAGAAGGCTGACATTCCTTTTTACAATATTGTCGGTGAAGAGATGCTGATTACTGGAAGAAATTATAGGAGGTAAAACATTTCATGGATAAATTAGAAAACCCATTATTTGCAAATTACACACTTCGGGATGAATATTCCTTTGAAAACGTAGAATATTTGTATCACAAAATGTAATCTGCTTGACATCGTAAATGGCACCAATAAAGGCAGTATTATGTGAAACTTTATACGCACTACCTACTGATGTGAATAATTGGAAACCGTTCATATCAACTAGTCGTGTTTGCCAGCTAGCTTGACATAACCTAAACTCCGGAAGGTTATTTAGTCATACTGGTGAACAAGCTTATCAGCGGTGCATCCAGATCGACGAATTTCAGTAGGCGGAGTCATTTCAAACCACTCGAAATTCAGACAGATACTTGATGGAACTAGTAATAAGTACAGCTGAATTTGTTATTCAGAAATTATACTTAGTTAATTCCGTTACAAAACTGAGGAGCTCGACCTCAAACGAGCAAATTATGTTTAGGTAATTTACTTTACTTTAGCTGTCAGACACTGCAGGATTGACTGCCATGTCGCATACTGATATCATAGTATGTCCACCTAGGTGCGATTTCATACAAATGCATAATACTCTGTGATAAAAAAGATTTTAAAAAAATAATTACTTTGTGAAACGTAATCAACTTGGTTGAGAAAATAGTGAATTACTGTGGTAGTAAGTAGACGAACTACAGTGTTCTTCCTTATCTAAAATTATCATCCACATATACACCTATGAGATTTTAACGACTTCAGAAAGATTTAGACACTGGATGGTTGAATATTTAATTAATTTCAATGGAGATCTAGTCATGGACCAACATTATGAATTATTTAAATTAATCTTAGCGTGTTCAAGAAAAAATCAAAACGCTGGGATTAATTTAAATAATTTATAATGAATCAATCTGACTCGGCGCTCAAATAATTCCAGGAAGTTCGTAAAATCTACAGTCTGGAAACTTATGATGAACCAACATTGTTAGAAGATCACGGAAGACTACGTAAAACTGAACACCTTTTTCTTTCTGGTTTTCAAACCTCCAATAGCGTGATATTACACTTCGCAAGGTGGAAGTATTTGGTTCAGTAGTAGGTGTGCACTGTAGGAAAGTCACAAACTAGGACGAAACAGATATTTGGTGCTCCTTGGTTTTCCAAAGGTGTTGGTTCGTGAAAAAATCCCCCCTGGATTTTAAGAGGACAAGATAAGTAGCAGCTGAGTTAGAGTTTCATAGTTACAGCATTACACTATCTTCCTGAGTTTTCAGAGTATATGTTTAGAGATATTTTTAAGTTATTTCTAATCGTAAGCATATGAAACCTTTTCATATGTAGATAATTTTTCCGAATGATACATACTACTGATATTAAATCAGTAAACCAATTTTGTCAGCAAAAATATTAAGGAGGCAACATGTAGAGTTCAGTTAATCGTCTGTATTATAGTTTTGTGAAGCATTTTTTTATGCAGCATCAATATGTACAACCACATATATTTTCGGAAGTCATCTTTGGCCAGATTTCATGAACATGAATTTTATGGTTGTTTTTATGCCTTATAAAAACAAATGAAATGTAATAATACACATAGAACTGTAAGATGAATTGCGTAATATCACAGATAAAAGTGATTTGAGAATGCAATAAGTTCAAACCAAGATAAGCGTATTTTTATAGAATTTTTGAGTTGAGGCGTTAGTTTTAAGTGTAACTGGTCACAAAACAAGACCAATGGCGAATGAAATCCAAAGGACCAGTTCTACCCCGATTCTACGGCAGGCCCAAAATACACAAACCGAACATCCTGTTACAACCGATTGTATCACTCCCAGGAACCCTAACATACAATTTGTCCTAAGAACTATACAGAAAATTGACGCAAGTAAACCATTCAGCCCAAAGAACACAACTACATCAAAATCATCCACCTGAGCTACAAATCTTCTCCATTATATCTAAACTATCTAACTGTTAGATTTTTATCACAGTAATATAGTAACTATATATATATATAATTTTCGGTTAATAATTGCTGATTTCGGTATAGATTTGGTTATGAAGAGATATCATTCAGAGAATGGTTAAGGACTAGGGAGCAATGGACAGTCCTAGTTTGGAGATGTCCTAGATTTTTAATCGCTGTATAATCAATATGATTAGTGACAAAGTCTACACTGAAATTAATCGAAACCTTAGAAACCCAACATCTGAAATTTTGATTTGTTGGTTAGCCATCTCATTGAGTGAATTTATATCAGTGTCGATTTCGTACGTTGTCTAAACAAAGAATACACTTTTTCAATAAAATTTCATTGAGCCAGTGAGTTGAGTTTATTCGTATTACTACATAGTGTATCCTTTGGGCTCAGTACACTCTGGTTAAACTTAAAAGCCATGACTCTTCTAAATTATACTTCTTTTTACTACCGGAATAAATAAAACTATATTAACACTGTGGCCTTCAGGAATTACTTACTAAAAAGAAAAATGATTATTTTAGAAATGTCACTATTACTCAAAGACAGAAAAGAGTAGCCAAATTCTAATGAGTTGTGTAACTGATAGAAATTTAATTAAGCTAAGAACTATTTCTAAATGTAGTGACAATAGTCAAAACCATCAAAATTTCCCTTTCATTTTCTCGCAACTTTTTACATGTAGTTAAGAATGCACTTCACATTGAAGAACTTTGGATTAGAACTCAAGGACTTATTGAGTGAATCCACAAACAGCTCGAATTTTTAAAAACTGAAATCACCAAGGAAGCCTCAGATATTTCTCTATTTCTGGTGTGAGACTTCATAGGCTATTTTGCAGACTGATCAGAAAGATGATCCAGGGGACAAATGAAAGCAACTTCAAAATAAAACATGCTAACTGTGAGTATAATTCCCCAGTAGAAGGTGTATCAGCGTTGCTAAAGAGACCCGAACTGCCGAGTTCTACTTATATATATATATATCGAATACGTGTTTTTCCACCCTTATAATTCACAATAACAAGTAGTCAAGGTGATGAGATTTAAAAGTGAGGAGAAGAAAAACAAAATGTTTGAAAGACACTTCCCGATCAAGTAAATAAACAAAAGTAGTAAAATAGGCGATAAAAGCAAGACTTTATGTTTTTCTATTACTGTCATTACTATAGCAACTAAAACAGTTATCTGAAAAAATCCAATAACTTCTGTTTGAATTAACTAAATGAATTGATTATGAAAATAACCGGAAGAATAGTAAAATGAATTTAATTGAATTAAAATTGTACAAAATACAATTTAAACCTTACATAAATAATTAGGTATGCAAGTTTTATATAAACGAATTCATTGAAAAGGGATTTTAAAAAAGGGCTCAAAGTAGTGGCTTTTATCAGTTTAATAAATTAATTTTATTAATAGACTGAGTTTAGTACACCGAATCAATTAATCTATGTGGAGTTATCTTTCCCAACAAGCCATATATGTTTCACATTAGTTAGAAATCAGGATCTGAAATAACCACCTGTTATGTATTATTCTGGTATCTTTGCCCAGTGTGAACATCGAATCTTCTATTCCTCACAAAACATAGTATATATAGATCGATGAATTCTCTGATTGTTTTCCTCATTCATGCGGACTATTTGTTAGGGACTAAAAACTGTCTATTCTATGACTTACGGTATCTAGGAATGGCATGGATGAGTTCCCTATTTATCATCTTCAAGGCTATACTCTACTGTTTGATTCCTTTTTGTTTATTTTAAAACCAATTTATTTTTATCTATCCTTTTATAACACTATACATTCCAATTTTATACAACTTTATTAGGGATATATGAGACTAGATTTATCAGTGAATCATAAACCAATCTTCAGGCTGAAGTATTCTATTTTCAAGCGAAGGATAACATGAAAAGAAATAGTAAGAAGGTGAATTCTTATGACATTTATGCAACATTTATAAATACTTTAATAATATGTTACACAAGTGAAAGGGGTAAGTAGAAAGTTTTGGTTTAATTATTTAGAATTTGTTAGTCCTTGTTAGTAAGGTGGCTAGCTGATTTAAACCATTCAAATGAAGATATTTAGTCTCTCAGATAAATGAAGACAGTCGATAGCTAATCGATTTAATCCAATTATTTCATAAGAATTCATTATACATGAATTATTAATTAACTCATCTTCACTAACATGCTTGTATCAGTGATGTTAGTGAAGAGTAGAGTACCTACCTTCATTCATTCGAATCCTCGTACTTAAAAATGTTTACTGACATCAGGTAAATAGTTACTGAAAATTAGTAAGGTTTGAGAAATTACTTTTACTTTGAATCTAAACCTAATCAACACTGCAAACTGTTGGTATGCGCTAAAATCCGTCTTGGCATCTACATATATGATTACCAATATCTTAAATTGATGTAACAAATTAGAAATCAACTCTAAGGAATTAAAAGTCAATAGTAACCCTTTATAAGTCATGGAACATAAGAGCTGAAGTTATTTATTATGGGTAATTAATATCTTCAGAGCATATTCAGCTGGAAGACAGTAAATCTTGCTGATTACTAAATTGCTAGGTGAACTAAGTAAACTGTCGAAAGTGTTCAGTAATATTCATTAGTGAGAAGGATTCCGACCAAGGTGGGACATCTGAACAGTATCTATTTGATATCTGCTATTTTTTGATTCTTTAAAAGCTAACTTCGAATTATTCTACATTTTGGTATTGTAGGGGATTGAAGGAATTCTACGAACCATAGAAGCTTCTTTTTATTCATCTTTCTTTTTCGATTTGTTCATCTCTACTACTGGAGTTCAAAGAAAGAAGACACCGGTAGTCGCGTGTGTGGTTGGCGTTTGTTTCAAAAAATTTCACAGTATTCCCTTTACATAAATAAGCACAGTATTCTCCCATTATTGGTTGGGTAGTATTAGGGTTAGTCTAGAAACAAAAACTTAGGGTGTCCCAAATAGGACAAAATACTCATCCTGGATTCCACTGCTAGTCACCATCCACCAATTCACTTAAACTTAGGATGGGTTAGGCTAAGAAGTCTGAGGGTTGTATAAGTCTATCAGGATAAATGGAATTTAATCTGTCTTTAGTGAAAATTACAAACGTCAGAGTGAAAACGAAGACTGTAGTTCAAAAGATCAGTAATTACTTGCTCCATAAATCACCGGGTTCATTTCTTCATGAATGCAATATGAAAATGAAGCCTAGATTGACAACTTCAGTCTTGTACATTGAACGATTAAAGCGTAACGAAATTATCAAAGCAGAATTTTCCTGTTTATTTTGCTACAGTTTACAAGGATACAAAGAAACCGAAACATTAGGAGTGGAAACATATTAAAACTAAGGGTCGGAATAAAGTGGGAAGAACAAGTAATTAGATGATTAAAATTACTGTTGAAAAAAGAAAACGGTAATTTTATTTCATTATTATTTATTTTGCGTCGCCACTGAAGTATGTATAAATTAACTTCTAGTACAGTCAAGACTATAGCCAGTTAATCAACAATTCTGTGTACAAATCAACCCAAAAACAGTGGTTCAGTGCATGACAGGTTACTTAATGTTTATTTCTGTTTCCTTTCATAATGTTATTTAGTTACCAGTAAATTTAAATATTCACTTAAACAGACTGTCTAAAGGCCATGACAGTAGGTTAGTCCCATCCTGTACTATATGCTTAAAACGAATACAGCACTGATCAAACCTATATACGACTGACACATTTAGAATATGTAGAATATCAGTCATTAGATGGTAGTGACAAACAATAAAAAAGATATGGAGGTAATAGATATGCACACTACATAGAAAAATATCTAAAAATAATATTTAATACATAAAAATAAAATGTAAATTACCATTTTTAAGTTCGCCATTTTCCAGTTCACATTCTAAAGCTGTTTTAGGTGTTGAGATTAGTTTTTCTATCTCATTACATTTTTCTAAAAGCGAGACATGGACGCTGTCTGTATTCTCATCCGCTGTGAAATCATAAACATCTGACCAATTACAGTTAAATATACTGAGGCCAGCCGAATTAAAATGGTCTGAGTTTATATAGAAAATAAAAATATTGTTTAAAATATGTTCAGTTAATACGAATTAAAACAAAATTAATAGTTTCAGAGCTTTCTGGATACGCGTTAACAAACAGAATTTTCAACTGAATTGCCAAGTATAAGGTGTAATTTTGATCCTCTTTATCTATCTACTTGAAATCATAGCACGAATCAGTATCTATACTCCTAGTTACTCTGTAAGTTCAATACCTCGCGTACAGAACTCGATCCTAAAATGATAAACGGTACAAATTAAATATATGGGTTGTGGAGTAATTTACTAGTAATAATTTACTTTGATAGTTACAAATGGGAGCTTCAAAGTCAACCATCTTCGCCAGACATCTAGACTAATAAATTTAACTCAGATTTCAATCACTAACACACAATATTTTGAAAACAGTCTGATCAAGCTAAATAAGTTAGAGTTTAGTAAACTATTTACACTATATTGTCGACATTTATTAGTGTATCAACCACACTGGTTGTGAATTTCAGTGTCAAGTTACTGTGAATTAAGGCAGCTATTCACGATAATCCGTTAGTCTAGTTCAATAGAATGTAAAAAATGTCAACATAAATTTATTACTCGTCACTGTGTAAGATGGCGGACAATACTGATTAATATGGATACTGAAAACAATATGAAAGTGACTGGGTGCTGTGAGATGACCAGTCATTCTGAACTCACCCCTAAACTAGCTAAACAGTTTTATAACTAGTAAGCAATGCTAACCGACATGACTAGTTCTTAACTGTTCATATCCAGCAGTAGTATATTTCGTAATTGTGCTTGGGGGTTGGATCGGTTAATAATAACAAGAAGATCACATGTTGTATTCGGAATGTGTTGCTTTTTCGAAGGAAACTATATCAGATCTTCACCTTCAACTGTGTAATTTTCGAATAATGAGTTTTATTTATAGCTTATATTTACCTAAAGATCTAGTATTCACCAGCTCTTAAATTTTCAAGTGATACTGACACTGTATTGACGTTTTTTAAGGATTGCTTTACTTCTACGTATCGTATTAAGGCTGATAGTTTTGCGTTACTAAGAAGACACAGTGAAGATTACCTGATTCAACGTAAAGAAGAAACATTATAAAGCAATAAACTCCCCTAGAAATTCATATTCGCTATAAGTGGTTAAATGTGAGCATGTACGTAATCAGCAAAAAATAATTCTCCATAGTTTCATTGATATACCGCACATAAAAATACCAAGCACAATAGAATGAACCAACCAGAATACTGGTAATTGGATTATGTATTACGAAAGAAGGTACTGTGTTACAAAAGTGAATATGAATTCGTACCTTCCAAACCTGGGTAGCTGCATTGATACGGGCCAAAGGTGAACTTTGTGCAAGACTCAATTATTGGTTCCGTTGTGCATGCTAAAAATACAAGCATTTCATGACAGTCCCTTGACCGGAATTGTTGACAGGCGGTTACAATCGTACATTGTCTACAGTCCCTAACAAAAAAGCTAAGAAGCTTGCAAAGCAAGCGCAGCCTTACCTAGTTTTTATTGGTCCTGTCACAATAGTGCAATTTATACAATCATCGACAGTTACTGTTACTGAGTGATCCAGCAGATATATGTAAGAGTTCTACCAGTAGTTTAAGTGATATTTCTGATTACCTTGCAGTTCTGTATCAAGAACTGCTGCCCATTTATTTCGCCTGAAATTCTTCCGAAAACTCCACCTGTCTTGTCAAGGATGATGAAGTTCTTCGGATCTAAGTTAGATTTCTCACCCCTATAGTATGAAAATTTTAGTTTCTGGAAGTCATTTCAAACAGTACCATGGAGATACATCTAGGTGTCCATTACCGTATTTAGACTTAGAATCAGAAGCGAGCTTAGAACGATATGATCTGCAGCAAAAACATAAGATATTCATGTGATTTTAAAAGAGAAACAAATAATCTCATAGGAGCAACCTAAACGCTTGCTTCACTAAAACAAAAGAGTACATTTAAAATGTTTTCCGGCTCATTTGTTCAGGTCACCTTCAAAAAATAAAGAGGGAGACTTTAAGAAAGGCAACAGTGAAATCCGGACTGTTTCCATTATGCTAAACTTCATTGGAGGGATGAAAATTCAGCGAATTTTGGCAAGCGAATTGTAGTAAGAATTAGATAGCTGGGTTCAGATTTCCGGATTTCCGACTGAATTGCCATGTATAAGGTGTAATTTTGATCCTCTTTATCTATCTACTTGAAATCATAGCATGAATCAGTATCTATACTCTTAGTTACTATGTAAGTTCTGAGAGTCATTACACGCAGTCCATTAATAGTGACACTGATACTTGTTTTGGCATTTTTTGAGCAAGCCTTGAGTATGGTGACTGTCTTTATACAATACATTAGAGTAATGGTCATTGACAAAACCATGACATCAACCTACTTTCCGGAATCTGTTTTAATCTTGATGGTGTTACTTATAAGTCGGGTTTGAATTCATTTTCATATTTATTTCTTGAAGCGTACTGGCACACTGATTTAAGACACGGCTATATAACAAACAGACGGTAGCGGCCAGAGTTATTAGAGTTTAATGATAAGCAAGGCGATATTTATTTCAGCGCACAGTCACGTTAATGTTTGTAAGGACACTTTCTTCGTTATTCAAATGTTTCAATGAATGTGTTCACAGTGTGGATGAATCCTACACCTCATACCAATTTTTGAATTACTGAAAAATGCTAAAACGGTGTATGTTGACTGTAAATGACCAAATAGATATCAGTTATGAAGAAGGTGATAAAACAAATGGGAAATCTAGTGCGTTTTATGGTACAACAAAATGATGGTAAAGTTGGGTTTGCACGAATCATAAGAAAGCAGACAGTAACTTTTACTGGAAAGCAGCACATCAGCAATATATCTGACGCTGGAATTTCGGTAAATATTTAGAGCAAGTGGTATTGATTTTATCTCTAACAGGAGTCTGAACACTTGGCTTTAAGACTAGCAGTTGCGATCAACAATTGTGATGTTATTGACGACAAAAATCCAACAAATTTCTTAGAGTCATCTAAGCACACTTCAGACTGATGCCAGATTGATTATGGAGCTGTGATTAGGGAATGAACGGAGTTTAATAGCTGCTTCACCTTGAGGTAAATAAGTTCCTGACAATGATTTATTAGTGGATGCACGTATCTGAGTTCAAAACACACATGATTAAAAATTACTCTTGTGACATGTTCGTATGTGCCACATAAATAGAAGCTAATCCACGGTTATTCAATTCATGACCTTCAGTGAACTTTGTGATCCTCGAGAATATGTAGCGAGTAACATAGCAGAAATTGTTCAAACGCTAATTTCATGGTGGTTGTTTCGAGGTTGTCATTAGTAAATCAGAGTCAATGCATGTTTCGGAAGAGGTTATGTTCAAACGACAACTATCACAACACTTGGAAGGCTTCCTAGATTTTAAGTCAATTTGTTTGAAGTATTAAGCCACCAGCGGTAGGTTAATAAATGCTGGTTAATGAATCCCAAGAAATCTACGTTTCGAGAAACAGTGTATGTGCAGCTGACATAATTGTTCTTCTGAACACTTTAATAATTTCCATTTTGCTGTCATAACATGAAGGTTTTGGGTTCGATCCCCAGTGGATTAGTGGGTTTACACTGCCAAAGAGTTCCAAATGAGACTAAACAGCTGTTCAGTGCTGCGGGGTCTCTCTAAATCAAGTCGTTTCGTAGCGAAAATCTAAGAGTTCAATTATCTTCGCCCGAAGCCTGAATCTTGGAATTGCCACCAATGGACAAACTTGTTGAGCGTGTGAACGAAAATTCCACAAAATAGTATCTTCAATTAATGTAAAAAGCATATAATTTGAGGTCACTCAAGGTATTTCGACTTTCCATTGTGGCGTTTTGGGGATTTAAAGCCGGCATGAGTTTTGGGGGTCCCTGGGGTGGAACGAGAAGATAGAATAGTTTTACTCAATTAAAGGCAGCAGTACTTTATTAGTAAGGTGGTGCGCCACCAGCTATATTGAGAATATCCAGATGTTGCAAACTGTAAAGGACCCTTGAATAGACCACCACCTGCAACTCGCCCAGAAATACCACCAACAACACGCACGGAAATGCCAGTGGACACCAGTCCTCAAACGAAAGCTGAAATACTAAATGCAAACCAGCTCCTGAAGTCAGGAAAGACAGCAGACCCAGATGGAATTTCCCTACCCCGAAGCAGTGAAAACGAACACAAGGCTGCAGCAGATGTGCTCATGCCATTACTGCAAAAGGTTTGGAAAGACGGAAAGGTACCTACCGATTGGAAGAAAGGCTACATCGTCGAGCTGCCAAAGAAGGGCTGCTTATGCCTTTTCAAGAACTGGAGTGAAATCATGCTCCTGTCCACGTCAAATAAAATACTAAGTCGCATCATTGATATAAGAATAGAACTTGTGCAATGTGGTGGAGTATAATTCCAAATTGGAATGAAGTCGCATCATTCTAGAGAGAATAAAGGATGCACTGGATACAGAGCTCCGCCCCACAGGAACAAGCTGGATTCAGGAAAGGTAAATCATGTGCCGATCAAATTACGCATCGTCATCACACAACAAAGCATAGAATGGCAGTCAAATCTCTACCTCAATTTCATCGACTTCGAAGAGGCCTTCGACAGCGTTGTCCGAGAAGTAATATGGAAGCCACTTCAACACTCAGCATTCAGTGCCTAAATCTTTGTCGACTTCATTCAGTAGCTGGCTATATGATAGTGCCAGATATCAGGTGATTCACAACGGAAAACTCGGCTAGGCGTTCGAAGTGCATACGGGAGTAAGACAAGGATGGCTGCCCATTGTCACCGACGACATTCTTAATTGTGGTGGACTGGATCGTTCGTCAGACTGTTGGGAGCGGGGAGTCAGCAGTACGCTGGGCCACCTATAAAAAGATTCTAGAAGATCTGGATTTTGTGTGTGGACGATATATGTCACACAGGTTCGAAGACTTGCAGGCAAAAACCAACAAACCGGCCGAAGAGGCGGCGAAGACAGGACTGCAGGTAAACGTACGGAAGACGGAGATGATGAAGATAACCAACCAGGCGACAGCAGCAACAACCAGTCACCATCAACAGGAGAGATTTGACAGGGGTTGCTTCCTTCACTTACCCGGCTAGGAAGCACGGCTTCAACCACAGGTAGAACGGATGAAGATGTCAAACGCAGCCAGAATCAGAGAGGCAAGACACGCCTTCATCAACCTGAAACCAGTTTAGAAAACTTCTGCATTTAAGATCAAGAAAAAGATCCGGATTTTCAACACAAATGTGAAGTCGGTCCTTCTACACAGGTCAGAAACTTGCACTACGTGTCACGGAAAAGAATTTCCAACAGGTTGCAGACCTTCATCAACAGGTGTCACCTTCGCTGACTCCATACTGAAGATCAAATGGCTGACCAGGAAGAATTAGTAACAAGAAATTCTGTCAACAAGCCAACCAAGAACCGATTGCCCAACAAATATGTGGGAGAAAATGGCGATGGATCAGGTGTACACTGAGGAGTCCGTCGAATGACATCGCGCCCAATGCAGGCCATTGCTCGAGTGGAATCCAAATGGAAAGCGACAAGTGGATCGTCTCTGCGAGGGTGACATGGAGGAGATCGTATGAGTTGGAGGAGTTGAGAGAGTCTGGAAATCGTGGACCCAGCTGAAGTGGATGGCAGAAAACAGAACAAAGTGATGTGTTGTTGCTGCCCTATGTTCCACTCGGAACGCAAGGGAACAATAATAATAGATGTTGCAGAACTGGTTCTGTTTGCAAGCGAAATAAAGAGAAGTTTATGTGTGCTGGTAACAATCTAGATATTTCTTATTTCAACTTTCTATTATCAGCGAATTCGCACACTTGGACTGGGAAGCAGTATAAAATAGATTTTTTTGAGATTCATGTTAGTATTCATGGAGGGTGATTCTGCTGCAGTTACATTCGTTATGGATTGTGGGCAACCTGAAATTTCGGCTGTGTAATCAACGCATTGGCAAGCTGATTTTGTACCTTGCGCTTTTCACCTATGCAGTGGTATAAGGTAAGTTAATTTTACGCACGCCCACGCCTAGACCGAGAATCAGGTTTTGAAGACCCACTTCTGTCAGCACACGAGTCAGTAGTATGTTATATTGACTATTCTTTTTCTGAGTGACAAACGGGCTACATAGTCGCGTCGTCCAGTACATGAAATACCGTTTGACGAATAAACAGAACTTGAAGGCTCCGTACTAACTCTAGGAGATACCATTAATTAGAGAGTGGGACAGACAACTGAGAATGTCTTCAAATGTCAGATGGCTTTCACAAGTGTATGCTCAAAATGTCGACCTGGAATTCCAAAATTTCTTCAAAAAGTTCAGGAAGACGTAGATGCAAATAACTTTGCAGGGCACTTCAAACAAATTTTACTGT